CATGTTCCACAATGGCAGAATTTTTCTCACATTCTGCCTTTACAACCTCAGGGTCTTTCGTCTGTCTCCGTCCTCTGCCGACTTGCTGTTGACCCCTTTCTCTAGCATCAGCGTTATTCTGAGTTTGGTTCGAAACGTCAGATGTCTGTAATTAAAGAACATTTTATGCGTGGTCTTCCCGTTCGTGACTTACCAAAAGATTATATCATCTCCCGTATAAAGAAATCATGTTTGATTTTTAATTCTTGTAAATAATGATATTTGTTGTTTCTATGCTGTCATCCATGGAATCAGAAGACCTATCACCTTCTTTATCATACCTTTTTTAGCACTCATGAAAAGTCCACTAATATACTACTTTCTTTGAGTTTCCTGCTGTTGATCAGTCTCTTATTCAGCTCATGATTAGATGTGATCATCTCTCTTGGCTTACTAGCAGACAAATGTAATTTGCGCATGGTGTAAAAAACTGGAAGAAAATAACGGCGATAATAACGGGAAAATATGACTGATTTGTTTTAATTTTAGGTAAATTTCAAGGCGACATAGTCGGAGTTGAACTGTACCGGAAGAAGCCAAGCAAAAATTTGGTATTTTCAGCCCAATTTTAAAGCTAACTGGCCTTTTAGCTTTCTAGTGCTAAACAGACTCTGACAGTGGTCAGAAACAAAAAGCTGCTTTGGCCCAATGGAATAGTGCCGTATGTATTAGCGGCAAATTTAGGTAAAATTAGAAGTCCTGCTAATGATTTTCTAAACAACCGCTAAACAGGAACTGAAGCCTCAAAGAAGGTATTGCTCGCAATGGTCGAGATCAGCAGTCACTCTTGTGTCAGATTCATTCCGCGGACGAAACAGACTAGTTACTTGCGAATTTATGCCGGAGATGGGTAAGATCCAAAGAAAGTTTTGATATATGATGAATTTCATCATTCGAGATCACATATGCAAAAATTTTAAAATTTACTGAATTTGAAGTGCTCATTAATACACTGACTCTCCGCGGGTTTATTTTCGGTGTTCAAATCGCAATGAGCGGACAAGGACAAACGTAAAGGATGACACATATGAACAACGTATTTTTCTTAACGGTGAAACTCTGATAGGCTAAACTAACGAGGCAACTGGGTGACATGCTGTCTAGGGATTTCTTGGGCAGTAGCTAGGGGAATTCAAGATATTTGTTGGAACATCCTGGATAAGAATTAGGGGAAAAGTAAATCATAATTTTGTGACAAAATTTTGGAGATGTCCTCCTCGAATAATGATAAAGCGTTTCTTAATATCAGTCAACCAATATTTCACTCTATATAAAAACTGCGTGCAGGTTACAGGTTGCTACTGATCACACTGTTTTTCATTTGTTTTGGCTGTTATAGATTGAGGACAATGGAATAGCACGTACGATGAAATCAATCTAGCTCGTGAAGTTGTCTCGCTTAGTACATTTAATAAGTCACATTTTTCTGTATTTGTAAACAGCAATAAGATGTTTAAGACTGATACTAACGTACCGCTAAATGATGCCATTTAGTTGCTACTCAATGGTTGGAAGAGTTGGAGGAGAGCAAGGCGTTTCACTTGGAAAAGGGTGTGACTTCGTTGAAATTATTATTCACGAACTGATGCATGCTCTTGGCTTCTGGCATGAGCAGAGCCGACCAGACCGGGATAATTATGTGATAATCAACTGGCAAAATATACAGCCAAGTTATTGTTTAATATACTAGCTCGTTTTTTATGCATATAGGCTGATTTAAGGTGAAACTGACCAATTCAAAACAAACGACCCGATCGTTGTCGATACTCTTGGCCAAGGGTACGACTACGACTCGATAATGCACTACAACAGCATGGCGTTCAGCAAAAATGGCATGGAGACGATTATGGCACGCACTGGCGGAGTCCGCATTGGTGACAACTTAAAACTCTCCAGAACAGATATAACAAAGGTATTCATCGCTATGAATAAATCATTTTCTGAAAGGGTGTGCTGTTTCGAACAGAAGATTTTATGTACAGGAATGACGATCAGCAAATAGTCAATATTTTTAACCTTTCCTTCCTCAATGCCATTCATATTCTTGAGGGTCGACCGACCCTACGAATGGTGCATCGCACCAAAATTCGCGCTTTAGCTACTTCTTCTATGCTGTGTTTATTGGTGAGTTTCGGCCACTTTAGTTGTATACCGCAGCAATGCAGCAGCACTTTCGAAGCCCAGTTTCATGAGGAAAAACAGTGAAGAAGATTTTTCAACTTTCATTAGTTATGTAATGCAGCAGGTATAGTGTGAAATGATTATCATTTCACTTTTTGATCCGTTTTTTGTACGTTGGTATGATATTTTTCCAGATAATTGGTTTTGTACTTTTCGGTACTCCGGGTTGTTAGTCTTTATATATCCATGTCCTGTGAGACTAGCCAAAGCACGGTTTTGGTGGCGACTGCTGAGATGGTCTGGATCTTTCCCTAAGGGATAATCTTGGGCACTTCTTGACAGTATGAGCAATTGTCAGACAATGCGCACTTAGAGTTGCATTTCGGCAATAGAACTGCTGCTCTTTCTGGCCACATGCCGAGAGGTTCCCCCGCGCAGTGCTCTCTTTGCAACTGTGAACATTCGCAACGGAATCCATCGACGTTTTA